TACATATAATAAAAATAATCATATTTTTCGTAATATAAATTGAAAATAATTCGTATTAGCGTTTTAATTTGTGAATTGAGTTCGCGCAGGATCGAATCGCTGTATCAAATTTCAACGAAATTTCTCGAAATAGAGAGGGAGGAAAAGGGTGCTATTTATTACAGACTGCCGCAATTAGTTTTACCGAACCGTCTCCTGTCTCGGGGCCGTAACGATCCTCCTTTTCTCTCTCTCCCGGACTCTTTTTTTCCGAGACAACCGGAGAGACCGCGCGGAGCGGCCGTAAAATTATTCCTCTTATCGGTCAATCACAGTGTCAGATGTATATATATATATATATATGCTACATATATGTATATATATATCCCGACACGCACAAGCGTAACGGCGACCGACGAGAGATCGAGATTCGTATCGGAAGAGACAAGGTGCCTCTGTTCTACTCGGGGAAGATTCTCCGGTCGTCTTTCTCATCCTCCGCTCGCAGAGATACGTAAAAGAAAACTCTCCCCATCCTGTCTCGTCGTTCTCTTAATAAGCAACAAACGCAAATTCCTGTTCGCCGCGAGAAGATTGAAGCTTTTGTACTCGTCTCTCGTTATCTAGTCTCGATTAGACGCGAGACTTTGTCGCGGAGGGTCGTAAATTATTTGCCGGCTCGTCTATAATCGTCCATCGATGATCCCGAGCGTGTAACAACGACGTCTTCTTCGATCTTTGCGAATCTTTGGCAAGTGCATCCCGGCTGATTGAATTTTTCTCCAAGATCGATTACGAGATTAAACGCCGGGAGGGACTGTTTGTCAAATTATTTCGCAAATGGAGATGAGTGGTCCGATTGATTTAGATATCGATGAGAAATTTTATGCCTTATTTTCGCGATTCGACTCTTCATTCATTGACCTCACCTCACGCTGATTAGTATGCGATTCGCGTGGTGCAGTTGCATCGTGTGTGACCGCATCAATCTGCATTCGAATCTCCGTTCGCCCCTCATCACGCCGATTATTTTTTATTTCTTTCTCGATCTCTTTCGTTTCATTTTCGTCTACCATTTCCTATCGCTTTAAAGGATTTTATATATTTTTATAATTTATATATGTACAGAAGATAGAATTGAAAACCGAATAAGATCATTCTTTCACCGGTTTAATTCGATCTTCGTAATAATTAATGAGATTAATTAAAACAGATGAATCAATCCGCACGTTTTTATCAGTGGCACGCCCAAGTTTTAATCAAATAAATCCAAATAAATTAATTTTTAATGAAATAAACCCTTGCGGGTTGACGATCCAGTAATCTCAAAGTCGCTCGACTCAATAGAAAAGTCGAGATTCATTCATTTACTCGGGAAAGATTTCCTGTCTTTTTCTATCGTCTGGACTTCTCTCGCGTCCTTTTCTTATTCTCTTCGTGTCCTTCTCGCTTTATCTCTTTTTTAAAAGGCTCGCTCGAGCTCGGTGCTCGGTACACCGATGAAAAAAGTCAAACGAACGCCGATCCTTTTTTGATCGCTTTCAGTTGTTTAGTGTCGCACATCGTCTACTGAGGTATCGTATTACACGTCTGTCATCGCGAGCTTCTTATCGCAGTGATTTATGGCTCTATTGACTCGCTACGTACAAATTTCATTCTGTTTAGTTACTTACACACACGCGCGATATAACGTCGGTGTAGTTTCGAGCATTGACGTTTCTTCTTCGTATCTTTTTCTTCGTGTACTTCCCGATTTATTTTTAATACGTTTTAAAGGTGAACGAATACTGTTCTTCGAAACTCGATACGTAAGCATTAAAAAAAGATGTTGACATTTTTTTCATAATTTTCAATCGCTCAGATGTGAAATTGTTTACGTACTTCTGTCAATCTGTCATCGCGTACACGTGGTTTATGTCTTAATTTAGTTATATAAAATTTCATTCATTTATATACGCGATTATAATGTCGGTGTGATTTTTTCACATTTTCTCTGACAATGAGTACAGGAAATAAATATGTACGCATTATTTATGTTTGAATTCTCAACAATAAAATGACATTTTAATTGACGTAATAGTATATAATATTAATCCAGTAATTTCTTTTCTTACTTACTATTCGCACCGATTGTTTTTAGTTTATTAATTTTTCATTAATTATTACGAAGATCGCAAAACAGAAGACTTTCATTCTCGGTTTAACCGAGAATACTTTGTACACTGAAAAAAAAAGTTGTCAACTTGACTACTAATCGTTTAACTAAATACTTACTCAATTTTCTCAATTGAACGCGTATAGAAATATTTAAATTAAAAAAGCCATCATATTAAATCTAATATATGTATTCGACTTATAAATATTTCGATACCTATATAAAATCTTTTCTACGCGGTCTCGTTTCTTTTGTTCGCACTTTGCGCTTTCGGACATCCGCAAACTCTCCCAGCGATCTCCGGTGGTTCCCTATTAAATCCTACTCGTATTGTATTCAAATTGGTTCGAGCTTTCACGTTCTTCCTCCACCTCCGCATCGCTCTCTTTCCGGTTGTCCTGTCACGAATTGTCGCTTATTAAAAGGCCCATTAATGGATAGTCGGTATTTCGTTCAATTTTCGACGATATCAGCAAGGCACATCGCAAAATCGCACTACTTGATATTCTTACTCAACAAAAATAGTATCCGATGTGCTTTGCATAAAGCGCGATTTATTTAGAGCTTTGATTATGACACTTTACTCGTGGAAGGAAGACGCGTGAGATCTCGTCGACGGAACCTAATCATCTCGTATTCGTGTCGACGGGAGGAAGATGCGATTCACAGAGAGTCGCCGGCGTATCTCGCCCTAAGGAAGGGAACGACCTAACTGGTTAATTCGCCAAATTTCGGCCAATTGCGTAATTCCGAAAAGAGTCGTTGACCGTCTGGACGGAGTTCAGGGTGAGACGAGCGAAAAAAAAAATTGCGCCCGAGGGCTCAAACAGCAGCGGGGAGGAAGAGGGAGGATGATACGCCTACACACACACACACACATATGTATATGTACACCTCCTTCTTTGCGTTCAGCGCAATACCGGGAACCTTTTCTCCCAAGTTGGCAGTTGCGTCACGTCGCGGCGACTACAAAAGCGCCGCAATTCCTCCCCTCCCTCTCCCCCCTTTGGTCCGATGCAACACTTGCATACCATACTTATTTCGTGCCCGAGCATCGCATGAGCGCGCGTCTCGTCGTTATACAGGGTGAACCGATAATTAATCCTGCGCCTCGCTTTCCTTCAATCTTCTTCGTGTTTCTTCTTATTCAATCGCATCGTGACGTTGGATCTCGTTTCGCTCGAATTTTTTTTTTTTTTTAGAAATAGAAAGAGATAATTAATTTTCCTTCGAGCATAGATCATCCCTTAGATACTTACTTGCTTTCTTTCGCGCGAGCGAAATTATTATTACGTCGACATGACATAGGCAAATAAACAAAGTATCAATTAACAAAGATACGCCCTCGCGTACTTCCTCCCTATACTCTTCACGATTTTCGTATAAGACAGCGTCAGAGAGCAGATGCTGTTTTTTTTTTCATCGAGAAAACAATGATTAATTTCGCCGCGAGATTACACCCTGCGAAGAACCACCCGATCGAGTCAAAGTCCCGAATCATTCGCGCGTTTATTTTTAAGACAGACGTATTAACGTTAATTCCGATCGAAATAAAAAGCCGACGAGCTCCTCCTCTCTTCTCAGCGAGAAATAATACCGCTTGTTTTGCAAGCGAGGCGTGGTCGGTGACGTAGCATCTCGCGAATTGCTCTCGAGGACGATCGTCGATTCGTTAATTGCACCGACTTCCAGAGACTACCGAGAATCTGAGGGATTCCTTAATTGCATTCGCGTCTGGTAAGCCGGCGAAATTGCGTCGGCGACGACAGTCGACTTCTCGCGACGAGAATCGATTCTAATTATTTATGTCCCTTCGCAGTGTTTTAATAAATAGGTATGAAGGAACTCAAGGTTTATTTGACATATTTACATATCATATTGCCGCAAATTTTGTCACTGCTGGCAAAGTCTGCGAAATAATATATAAGAAATTACATCTCATTATTTATTAGGCATTTGTTAATTTATCAGCTAGCAATATGGGTTTCCGAATAAAGAGCGGAGGAATTTGCAATTTTCGCAATTGGCACGCAAATTTTCGTGCAAATTGGCTCGATTCGAGGAATAATAAAACGGCAAGCGAAATGTAAATGTTCCCTAAATTACATTCGACGCGCGTAATTATACAACACATGTGCTTACGAAAATTTGGCGAATCGATCCAAATTTTGCGTAAACGCGGTGGAATTTTCAACGATCCATCTTTTTATACATATAATAACGTTCAACTTGCCAAGACGAAAAAGAGAAGTCTTATTTCTGACGTTTCGATCGAGCCACAGGGCTTTTCCTGAAATCCGTTATTATAAAATGAAATGAATTCGCGCGATAGATGGAGAGAAACACGCTTTCGCGCAACGAGAATTGATTTAATACGAAGGGGGCGGCAGAAAAGTGTACGAGGAATCCGAATATAACATTGCGGGGAGAGATAGAGAGAAAAATTGCAGATTGAAGGCTAGAATAAAGAAGAAGCGAAGTATATTCCCCGTCGAACATGCAACGCGCGATGATTTACGATGGAGCGAGTCGAGAATGCATCGCGTTGCACTCTGCTGAATAACGTCTTCCGACGAAGGCTCTTCCCTTCCTCCCACATTACGTCATTGTTCGCGTCAGTGATTTCAGTTTATCCTTGATTTTTCACATCGACACGTCGTGTCCTCTCTTTCCCTTCCATAATCAAAAAAGCGCGAAGCTTTGCTCAATTTCGTTCGTCCCTCCTGATATGTGTAATAATAAATTTCCGCAATTTCCGAAGATTCTTGTTTTATTTTCTATTTTCTGACATGATATATATATATATAACTCGCTTTTAGAATTAACAACTCTAAACTTACCGAATTGTTGTCTACGACTGTTACAGGTGAACCGGCCATTGACGATGAAGAAGGAGGGCATCCAGACGAGAAATAGGAAGCTCTCGTCAAAGAGCAAGAAAAAGAAGGCCGGCGGCTGCCTGGGCCTCGGTGGTGTCATGGGCGACATGATCAAGGCCGGTGGACACCTTGATCTCGACAACAAGCCCTTCCATTCCGGATTCGGCTCGCCGATGGGTAAGTCGAATTCTCCTCCCGAAAACTATCTACCCCGAGTCTGAGAAAACACTCAATCTCCCCTTAAATCATGGTAGTCGTGGGACAATATGGTGTTGGAAGAATTTGATAAAAAGTTTCTCCAATTAATATTTACTACACTAAAAATATTAATATCTATCATGCGCAATAAGATATATAAAATATGTTGGATTAATTTCACTACCTATACACATAGTAAAATTTACTATATATACATATTAATATTTTTATCGTGGTAAATATTAATCAGAGAAATTCTGCTAAAATTCTTCCAATATCGTATTTTTCCACAATTAATATGATTCTCAGGGTATAAATTCTAAGAGAAAATTCTGTCCGCGTACAAATATATAAATTGAGAAAATCTCGAGAAGATTAATAGAGCAACGCTCTTTTCGCATTGATCGTTCCAGGTACGTCCCAGCATCATCACACGATGCATCCGGCGATGCAGCATTACATGTATCACACGGGTGTCGGCGTGGCCGGAGGTCTTCATCAGGGATTTGCGCCACCGGCGCCGCCCCCCATCCACCCGCACTCGCATTCGCATTCCCATTCCCATCACATGACGAGTCTTCAGGGTCTGCAGCTGGCCACGACGAACGCGATGGTGAGTGCGCGATTTGTTTGCTTTATCGGCGCGATCGACCAGAACCCTCGATCGCCGATAATCGATCTGTCTAGCGGAATCTGTTGATCCCTCTCTCGTTTTCTTTCATTTTTGCAAACCAAATTGTTCATCAGATTTATCATTTTAGCTGAATTTTTAAAGATTTCTTATTTTGTTGGAAAAGACATTAGAATTTTATTACAACGAAATAAAAATGTGATTTCCCTTCGAATCGCATCATTTATTATACGCCTCTCGTTTTTCCGTCCCCGAAAGGAGAGTCTTCGCTCTCGCAACCGACAGCAAGTGGAGCAGCAGCAGCAGCACGTCAGGAGTGTGGTAATCTTTGTCTGGTTTCAGACCGGCTGGCGATCGGAGTACACATGAATCGCGAGTGACTAAGCAGCTCAGGAGGACGCAGCCCACCACTGTCTCGTAATGTTGCAAAATGCGTAAAAGGGGAGAAACGCGAAAAATTAAAAAATAACTGAACATATACATACATATATATTTATTTATTTATATATATATATATATATGTATGTATGTGCTCCTCTTCTCTTTCTCGCGTGCGGGCGTCTCCTTCTCGCGAAGGGGACACAATCGATCACCGACGACACGGGGAGACCAAAAATAAACTAAAATAAAAGCAAACCTAACATTCCCGCGACAACACGCGGGACACGTATCCAGGGCTCACGTCGTCCTCGCGGGGGCACGACCGTGAGAGCAGCGCGTCCGTTGGATCTCTCTTATAAAAGTGAAAGCTCTTGTAAATATGTAAAGTCTCATGTGTAGGGCCATCGAGCCCCGGCCCCAAGTACAAAGGAAAAAAAATCAGCTACTGTATCGAGTCTTATACATACATATATATGTATATATATCATATGTACGTATGATATGTATATGTATATATATAGCATATGTAAATAAATATTACATAGATACAAGAATTTATTATATATATATATATATATAAAATTATAAATATATATGATATTATGCGCATATGCCAGCGTGTGCGTGTGATGGAAGGTCGAATGAGTGCGTGCGATGTGACCCGGTCTTTTCAGCCGGCTTCCTCAGAATGTATTTTAGACGAGAGACCGCGGTCGTATATCCAGAATCGCCTAAAATCGATCCTGAGGAGAGCCGCGACGAGCTTGCTCGTTTGCTGTGCAGGCACGCTTTGCATGTGGAAGTCGACGCAAAATCGTGCAATTTCGAGAGGGAGAGGAAATTTTATTAAGCACAAAAAACGGGAGTCCGTGTAACTCGCGGTGCGGGATCGTTTGGACGTTTTCCGCAAAGATTCCCGACGAACTTTCAGATTCGTCGGAAAGCCTTAAATTCCCTCGTCAAGCTTTAATCGGAATGACAACCTCGCGAAACAATATTGAAATGTTTTTTTTTTCTAAGAGCGACTATTTTTTATTTTTTATTTACGATATGCACCCGATCGTGGACAAGAGTCGGTCGAAGAGGAGCCGATTTGATCCGGAAGGATAATTAATTAACTTTCCAGGAATCGAACCACCTTCCTGCGATATCTCGATCCTTTCCTTCATTTTTTTTTTTTTTCAACTTTCGAGTACGCATACCTGTCTCCATATCGTCCATGTCGGCGTCCATTGGTCCAGCACCGTTCTGTGTGTGTCGTACCGGTTAGTGATAGTTCACGTAAGTGTAATAAAAAGCGCATAGGGTAAACTCGTAAATTATACACGAAGTCTCCGGCGAGAGAAAGAGAGAGATCGATTGGCGACGACGCGATCGCTAGATCGCACGAGCGTTAGCTTCATAATTTAGTCACGGCGGACACAAAAAGTACACATAAAAACACACACACACACACACACACACCAAACACCGGAACAGCGGTAAGAGCCGGCGCAAGGAATACAACACACACGACTAATGCAAGTGTAAATTTTGTATCTTCGAAATTGTGTATCGTTATTGTAATAATAGTATATATATATATGCAAATGAAGAAAATAAAAAATATATATATTATATATAATAAATATTATATATCGAAACACATACGTCGCGCGACCGAGGCGAACCGTCACGCGCGTTAAGTGATTGTGCATAATTAGCAATTAATTCCGCATCACATAAACACAACTATGCATATAAAAATAGTCGGCAGAATATACATAAATAATTGACGACTCATCGGTGAGAGAGAGAGAGAGAGAGGTCACGGGAGGGGCGCATCATTAGTACCGTCATTATCATTATCGATCATCGTCGATCGATTGTCCACCGATTGATTGCTACTCGCTCGCTTGAGTTCCGAAATACATTGTGATTTTTCGATTCTAGAGTTCGATTTACCACTCGCGTATGTTTTTTGCGAATCTAGATAGACGTACATAGGTAATAATGGGAGATGCGAAGGAAGGGTGGATTGGGAGGGAGGGAGAAGGAGAGGGACGAATATATATATATATATATATATATCTTTATCCGGGAAGATATCGCGCGGTACTTTTTCCTCTCGCCGCGAATGAGAAGCCTAATAAAGAAGAAACGAGACGAAGAGGTAGCGGCGATTTTCCAAAAGACTGAAAGAGAAAAAGAGTCGTCGGTATCGATCGATTATTTTCGCGCGAGATCGCGCGTTTTCCCGAGAAAAGGGAGAGAATCGTGGAGGGGGGGGGGGAGAAGGAAGTATCTATTAATAGTATTATTAGGAAGTAGCGTGTAGCTTGTGTAAAAAAAAAAAAATAAAACAGAACACACAGAAATATATGATTTTTAAGAGAGGCCGATCGCGCACACCCGCACAAACTCGCAAGAGGGATCGAGATGTTTTGAGGGTGCAACAAGAAGGGTGAGGAAGGAAGAAAGGGAGGGGGCAGAGAGAAAGCGATCCTTTAGCGCGCGCTGCGAGGATGTTTATTGGATGTAAAAAGCGACACATTGTAAGATACCATTGTAAAAAGAAGGTTTTAACTTAAAATAAATTAAATGATAAATCACGCATACACCGACCAATCTTTAATCGAGCATTATTGTAAACTGACTATAGATGTGTATATGTACAATGTATAGCATCATGCTCTCTCCTTTCCTCTCTCCATCTCTCTCTCTCTCTCTCTCTTTTTTTTTCGAATTGATAATACCGTCGATGACATCACTGCGTTATCACCGGGTATATCCTTTAATAAATCACACGCGCCGTATAATCGTTATTACGGAATTATTAATGATTTTCTTCTCCGCGCGTAAATAGTGTCTCTTTCTTTCTTTCTCGTTGCGAGCGTGATGATGTTGTATCGTTATCTCAGACGACATCCGCGAATTGAATTTCTTTTCGCTTAGAGTTTACGCGCGAGAGAGAAAGGGAGAGAGAGTCCCCTTAATCAATCACGCTCGCTGATAATAATATCATTCCGGGAGTTATTAATGATTTCGCGGCGTCGTATTAATGTCATTATCGGCGATTCTGAGATCGCACAAAATTTCCTTCGACATCCGTCTCGGGCGAGAGACAACCGCAGGATTACGCGCTTTTACCGCGATTGACTTTTCACAATTTCCATATACGTTCCAACAATATGCTCCGCATCGAATTCGTAAACTTGATAAGTCTAATTGAAAAAAAAAAAAAAAAAAAAGCGAAAGAACGAATATCGCGATATCGATCTCGAAACCAGCTGCTCGAATCCACAAAGACACGCGATATATACGAGAGTCTATATAAGCTTTATAAAAGTCGAGGGGATATACAAACTTTCTCGCGTGGGGGCCGACGAGAGGGAACGCAGCCATGCGAGATGCCATCGGGATACAAAGTAGAAGGAGGGGTCCAGAGATCGATGTCGATTAGCGTACCCTTATTAATTAAAAGGCGTAACTTAATTGAGTCTTATCGGGCCGGACGAGGTGTTTACATGTAAATCGAGGCAGCAACCGCGAACGAGATAACGCCGCGCGAGATCATCGCGACGCGCAAATAAGTCCTCTCTGCCCCCCCTCTTTCCACCCCCCCCCCGATCGCGTACGATAATATCGATAGCCGCGTGCGACGACAACAACTTCGGTCATGCTCGAACGTGTGTTAATGAGTTCGGTAATAAGAGACAGTCCGCGTTATAATATGAAGAGAGACGGAAGAGAGAGCATCCAATAACCAGTCCTTATTCAAGGGGTCTCTCGCGATCCGATCTTCTCTTATTATATGCGCGTATTAAATATAATAATTAATCCGAAGCACACTCTGTGCGCGCGCGCGCGCGACAAAGAGGCGTCTTCGAGGGAAAACTCGGCGATGTATAATTTGTAACGATCCGCGATAAGGCGTGTCAACTCCTCGCGCAACCTGGCTAGACTTGGTTTTTTCCTCAAAATACAGACGCTCGTCCTCTGATGAACCTTAATGATAAGTTGATCATCTTTTTCCCGCGTTCAACGGAGATTTTCGGCTCGTGTCGATAAGGGATCTTGCCTCTCGAGCAGATTCCCTCCCGAATGGTCGGACGATATATTTGCGGTAATCGGTTATTTTATCTACACGAGAGAGAGAGAGAGAGAGTGAGAGAGAGAGAGAGAGAGAGAGAGGTGTTGAAGAGAGCGCGAGGGATGAGGGATCTCGTGCAACTAACTATAAATTGTACCGTAAAAACCGTTATCTACTGTGTATTTACTTGAAAATTTATAAATGTGTGATACCTCTACTCAAAACTCTGCTACTTGTGTCGACTTGTCTTTATTCAATCTCCCTGAACCCCGTCGGCGTATTTGATCGTTTCGCAGTCGTCGAGATTGATTAATTTTTTGCGAGTAAAATATATATTAAATAGCTATAATTATTAATTTGCAAGATTTATTGTTTTTATAAAATTAATAATCATACATTAAGAGTATCGTCTTTGAAAAAAATGTTTTCAAGATCCAAAGAGCGAAGCAACAATGAAGGAAGCTTCGTATCGAAATATCGCGTTAGCTTCTTACTGCAAGGATTAATTCTCCTTTCGAGAGAAGAGATCCTACGACTCTCGAATAAATCTCAGGCGGCTTCCCGCTGGTTTCCCGATCGGCTGCCGAGAGTCACGCGCTCGTTCTACGAATTAGAAAATCGAGTGGAGCGCGATCTCCAAATCCCCGCTTACGCGCGTTTGCGCAAGTCGGCCCGCCTCGTTTCACGGCGAATTAGGTCCGGATGGGGCCCTTCGCCGAGGGTTAAAAGGGGCGAGACGAGTCCCGGAGAGTCGAGATATCCGAGAGAGAGGAGCAGCTGCTTACGTTTCGATCGTCGTCGAATCGCCGACGTTGACCTTCCGCCGCAAGATTCTACGACCGAGAGAGGGCAAAAAAAAAAAAAGAGCGGCCCCAGATAGCCTCGCGCGTCTAGAGAGAGGATATATACTTCCTATAAAAGTGACCGGGATTTCGCGTAATCCCGTTTTCTCTGGGGTAGCGGAATAGAAGAGATCTATCTAACTCCCTCTCGGGAAGAAGCTCTTTCTCTTCTTCTCACAAACGCGCATGATCCTCCCTTTCTTCGCGCAGGCAGCCTCTGCTCGAGTCAAGAGAGCGGTCGGAGATTCTCGCTTTTGCGGTTTACCGCGGATGTCCCGAAATCGAATAAAAAAAAGAACGCGCGTTGTACGGCTTATTCGTTCTGGCGATTAAAACGAATTCCGGAATTACTCGCCTCGCGCAGCTGACACGAATAGTTTCATGATGCTATAATATGTAACTTTATTAACGAAGTTGGTCCAGAAATAAAGCTAGATTGCATACAGCTGGCTCGGCTGATCTTGATGATAGAAGCAGCGATTTCTTTCTTGAGAATTCAATCACGTATGGATGTGGTAAGAAAATTTATCCGCCAACGAGATGAATGTTTTTTTCTTGAATCTAATTGAATATAAATTTCCATACAAAGGA